TTTGGGTTTAGGGTTTTTTTTGGGGGGGAGGGGGGTCTAGGGTTTAGGGTCTAGGGTTTAGGGTTTAGGGATTTGGGCTTAGGGGTTCAGGGTTTAGGGTTTAGGGATTATGGCTTAGGGGTTCAGGGTTTAGGGTTTAGGGTTTCTGGATTAGGGCTTAGGGGTTCAGGGTTTAGGGTTTAGGGACTAGGGCTTAGGGGTTCAGGGTTTAGGGTTTACGAGGGGGGGTTCATGGGTAGATTAGGGTGTAAGGTTTTGGGTTTAGGGTTTAGGGTTGCATAAAGCTAATAAAGCGTTCATCGGGGTTTGGGGTTTAGGGCGTGCTTGGCTCTGGGCGCCTTTTCTTTCAGGGCCTGCACATGACGATCTCTGCTAACATCCTTCTTACGCCAGGGGAGCTTGCAATCAGGGCTAAACTGCCGAAAGTGCCGCTGACCATTTGCATGGGCGCTCGAGGCTCTGACCGAGGCCCCCGGCCGAGCGTCGAACGGTCAGGAAATGGCTCTGCTATGCGTCACAGGGGGTCTAGGGCCCCAGGTGGGCAGATTCCAGGGACTGGTGGCGATTGGAGGGGCGACCCCGCCTCCCTGCCTCTTGCCCCGCTGCCCGCCCTGCCCTGCCCTGCCCTGCCCCCTGCTTGGCCTGCCCTGCCCCCCGTCCACCCTGCCCTGCCCTGCCCGGCCCTGCATCCGAACCTAAAACACGCTTTGGTCGTCCTGCTTTTGCCCTGCTTTCGAGCAACCCTGACAGGGTGCGAGAGGCCAATTGTTTGTTGGGAACCCTTGCTTGCTTCTCGTCGAGCGGCCGGCACAGGCCGCGAGGACCCACAACCCGACAACAATCCATCTCAATTCTGGTTGCTGTGAAACACACATTTTCTGCAAGCTGGGAAGGGAAGCAAAGAGCAAGAAAGCCCCCCTTGAGGGGGGTTTGGAGGGTGAGCCCTAAACCCTAACTGAGAATAGTTGGGGTGGTTGGGGCGGGACTACATGCTGACGCAAGCGCGCGATTAGTGGGTGCGCCCCTATATTCCTAAAGCAAAAGGCGCACCCACCGCGCGCACACTGTCTACACACCCTAAACCCTAAACCCTAAACCGCCTACAGTGCCCAAACAGTCCAGGCAGCGTCGAAATACAGAAGCCGAACGCACCATCAGAGGTCCAGGGTTGAAGCTTGAAGACGAGAACGGGTTTTAGGGTTTTTAGGGTTTAGGGGTTTAGGGGTTTAGGGCTTAGGGTTTAGGGTTTAGGGGTTTAGGGGTTTAGGGTTTAGGGGCTTAGGGTTTAGGGGTTTAGGGTTTCGGGTTTAGAAGTTAGGGCCGAAAAGGCTCCAAGATGGCCTTTGATTCAGCTTCCAGCTTTTCACCCGAAATCTCTGCAGAACCCAAACCAGAACCTTTGACCCTAAGTCTAGGACATTTTCAGGCGAGTAGTTACCGTTATAAGAGCCTTATAGAAGGTCTATATACCTTATAGAAGCTTTATAGAAGCCCTATATACCCTCAACTCCCCACCTGTAGTTTCCTGTAGACTAAGACCCCAGACAGTCAAACCCAACCCCGCCCAGGTCCTCCACCAGAAGCGCACAACCCTCAACCCTAAACTCCTCAAATCATTCGCGATAACCGGAAGATGATCAAGGCCCTCAATGACAAAAATCCTTCCGGGCAAACCCCCAAACCCAGAACCCGAAAACCCTAAACCCTAAACCCTAAACCCTAAACCCAAAACACAGAGAAGCCCTGAATCGTCTTCCCTACAAACCCAGAGCCCAGAGCCCTTACCATCCCTGTCCAGCCCTTGTTTCGGAACCCGAGCCTAAAACCCTAAACCCACAAAAGCCCTGATGCCAAGGATTCGCCCTAAACCCCAAAGCGTAAAAGCCACAATCCCTTGGAGATCCGAACTCATAAACCCTAAACCCTCCAAAAATCCCTGGAACTCCCCGAAAAGGGACCTCCGGGTCTCGCAAGGCATGGCTCCAACCGGTGAACGTCGCCCTGACCCGGGGAGCCCAACAGACCCCCTGAATTAAGGAGTCACAGGGGTCTAGGCTTTGGCGTTTTGAGGGCTTAGGGGTCTTTTATTTTTTTTTAGGGCTTAGGATTCAGGGTTTAGGGTGTTTTTTGGGGGTTTAGGGTTGAGGGTTTGGGCTTTAGAAGGCCTTGTTGGAGCCCAAGACCCCTTAAGTAAGGAATAGACCTTAAGTCATCGGCCTCATATTATGGTTTAAGCGTTTTTCCTAAGGGAAAGCGTGAGGCTTGAGGCCCGGGGCGTTTTGGGTTTAGGCTGAGGGCCCTGCTAGGGTTTTGGACTTAGGGTTTAGGGTTTAAAGTTAGGGGGCTTATGGGATTTTGGGTCAAAGCGATTCTGGGGTTTAGTGGGACAACTTGGGGTTTCTAGCGTCGGGCTAGGGGTGGTTCACCCCTTTGTGGAGCGCCGTTGTGCGGCGACTACAAAGGCATCAGCTGTGTGGGGCTTCAGAGGCCCATGATGCTTTACCTTTTTCCCCTATATGGACCCCGAGGCCCAGTAGTTATTTGATAGAGTTATAAGCATCATAACCCCAATTTTGATCCCCATGAGGGCACTTAGAAGTCTTCTTACTACCCCTAATCCCTAAACCCTAAACCCCCGACCCGCCAAGACTCTGTGAGGATTTACCTAGACTTCAAGCCTCGGCCCCCTACACTCGGAAGGCAAGCAAGCAGGAAGTTGGGATCCCCAGAAAGGAAACCACAGTCCCACAAAATAACAAACTACCAAGGAGCCTGCAATCTAGAGGCCTTCATCATTCGAACTGAGAGTGCTTCTTTTTTGGGGGGGGGCGTATATATCAAGTAGACCAGGGGAACGTCAGGAATGATATTGGTAGCTACGCAGGATCTAAACTGAAATCTTATGAACCCCCAATGGGCTCCTGAAAAGAAACCCTTGTAGGAACCCTGACAGGAACCCTGACAGGAACCCTTAAGGGAACCCCGAAAGGAACCCCCAACGAGGAACCCGTGAAGGAACCCTAAGACCTAAACCCCAAAACCTTAAAGGAACCCCTTCAAGGAACCTTTAATTGCACGCTCACCGGCCTAAGGAAGGTTTGGAGGGACTCCCGATGCATCGCCAAGGCATCCGAAGGCACGAAGAGGACTTGCGAGTAGCCAAGAGTCACCTGGGCTTTCTTGTTTAAGGTTTTAGGGTTTGGTATGCTTCGGAACGTAGCCACTTTCAGTCACCACATAAGAGGAAACCATTTTACTTACTAAAATATCCTCCTGGACCCACACCCTAAACCCTAAACTAACCACAGTAACTTAAATTACAGTAGCAGCCCGAAAATTGGAAACCCAACAGCTTCAATCCCTTAAGGTTAATGTATAAGCAATCCCGGCACTAATTGTCCTTAATCCGGTTTCCAACTTTTGGGCGTTTACCATAAGCTGAGCCCCAGTCACGCTTGGAAAGGCAATGCCTTGGAGAGGTATGACTTCCGGTGGCGAGCCCAACCTGTGTTTTCGGGGTTTCGGGCGGAGTGTAAAGGTTCAGAGTTTGGGGTTTTGGGCTTTGGGTTTAAGATCTAAGTTACAACAAAATCAAAACCGTAGATCTCTATCATAGAACTTAGATTACGGTCTTTAAACCTTATAAGCCCCATAAGCCCTGCAAACCCTACAAACTTTATAAATCCTGCGAGCACTATAAGCTCTAAACGGCCTATGAATTCTGAAAGCTAGAGCCCAGCAACTCGTGCCCCAGTCGCAGGGTCTCGGTGACATCATAAGCCTGTGCCGCATCGACACCTCTGGGGCCCCCAAAACGGTGCGTAAGCAAAAGTTAGGAGATTGAGTTCAAGGGCTTGCGGTTTAAGGATCCAATATACACCGCCTTATAATGGAGCCCAAAATGGTGACATCCTGAACCCTAAACCCTAAACCCCAAACCCTAAGCCCTAAACTGCCCATTTTTGGGGCTCCGAACCTCCCGCCCTGAGCTCGCTGAGCTTCTGGGTTCGGGGCACGTCCAAGACGTCGGCTCCCGGAAGAATCCGCTTCAGCAAGTCAATGGTATCCTCGGCTCTTGCCAGAGAGCCCAGTAAGGTTTAGGGTTTAGGGTGTAGGGTTTAGGGTTTATCCCTGAATTCAGGAATATACTTTAAATCATTCGTGGCTTCATCTATTCCTTAATGAAAGGGTATTGGCCTCTCTGGGTCTTGCTGCGGAGCTTCACCATCATACATACATATACATATATATATATATGTGGTAACCCCCTCTGAGCTATCTACCTTCTTCGCGGGTGTTAGAGTCTGTTAGAGCCTACTAGGGAGGGGTGAGGGCCAGCTTACTTCAGGGTTTAGGAGCAGTAGTGCTAATGTCGTTCTTTGCTAATGTCGTTATTGTTGTTCGTGCTGTTGCCGTCACAAACCCACTAAAGGACAACTTTGTACATGTCTCTACGTGTTTCTTGTGCTCCCCTAACATGTGTGCAATGCTAAAACAACACAACAGATGATGGAATAATACAAGCCCGCGCATGTGTTTACAGCAGTGACGCATGCACTGGGAGCGGTGCCGAGGAATCCGAGTATTGAACTTCAATCCCGAGGATTGAACTTCAATACTCCCGGATCCAAGATTCAAGATTCAAGATCCTGAGGAAATTTTGTCCTGGAGTCTTGAATCTTGGATCCGGTGTGCCTTGGAAAGCCACGAAAAACGTAGATAGCTGAGGGGGGGTAGTATGTGTATATGTATAAATATATATATATATATATGAGTTTATTTATATACTTATATTTTGTATGTAAATATATATATATATGTATGTATGGGGTACCCCCCTAAAACCTACCTCCAAGCCTGTCCGTATAGAGGTATGCCACCACACTGGACCACATGTCTGTACATATGCGCACACACACACACGGACACACATGCACACATGGATTAGCGTATACGAACGAACATTAGGAAATAAGCCGAAAGGCACCGCGTATGCCGGATCATGTCGGCCGCTTGGATTCTGCAACTACGGCGGGGGTGTAATTACGTTCTGGGAATTGGATGTTGCAATTACGCGAGGATTCTAAATATCAGGTTGACATTGGTATATAGAGGATATCAGAGAATACTTCGTTATGCTATTTTGGTTTGAATGGCTTTGTGTGGTTGTAGACAGGGAATACTAAGCAAAAGTATCATTATCTTGGTTTGAGCTGTTGTGTGTGGTTGCAGACAGGGAATACTGAACAATACTTAGTATGTGTATCCTGGTTTGAGCTGTTTCGCGTGGTTGTAGATGTGGAATACTAAGCAATACTTAGTGCGTTTATCTTGGTTAGAATGGTTTGGTGTGGTTGTAGACCGTGCTTATCTTGGTTTGAGTATCTTTATCTTGTTTTGACCTGTCTTATGTGGTCGTAGACAGGGAACACTAAGCAATACATGGTATCTTTATCTTGGTTTGACCGGTTGTGGGATATGAGACTTGTGTCCGGAGTAGAGTCGGAACGTAGTCTAGAAAGCGAAGGCTTCGAGGTAGGTTTCAGGGTGTAGCATAGATAGATAGATATATTTTTTTATTTATTTTTTTATTTGTTTATGTATATATACATACATATATGTGTGTGAGTGTTTCTCTAAATCAAGGTGCCTTCTCGGGTCCTGTTTATAAGCGTGCCGTACTAGCTTGGGAACCTTGAAAGGACCCTAGTTTCGAGAGTTGAACTACCCAAGATACATAGAATCGATAAGCATAACCTGCCTTGATTGGAAACAAAAAAACCCTAAAACCTAAACCCTAAACCTTGAAACAGAGTTCCTGAAGAAGACCCCAGCATCCGAGTGTGCCGCAATGCGCAATCCATGCCCGTGGGGATTCCTGGGCTCTTGTTGTGGAGCCTACTTTAGGGTTAAGGGTTCAGGGTTTAGGGTCTACTCTAAGTTACCAGAATTAGGGTTTCTGATAAGCCCCTAAACCCTCAAAACCCTAAATCTGCTTGCTATGGTAACTTAAACCCTACACCCTAAGCTCTAAACCCGAAAGCTAATTTAAGTTCCTCCACAAAAAGCCCAGATTCTCATGAAGTCTGCTTCGTAGCCCCACATCTGGCATTGCTGCCAAGCCTGGGCTTTGGCTAAGGTACTTGGTTTAAGGGTTTAGGGTTTAGGCCCACTGTCCCAAAATTAAGGAATTTACCACACAATTGCTAGGATCTTCAAATTATGATTTAAGCGATACTCCTTAATTACGGGTATTGGGCTTTCTGGGAATAAGGAAACCCTTTTAATTAAACTGCCATATTAAGAAAACCATCTTTGCATCCTATGTCCTCTAAACTTAAATTAAACTCCTCCACCGAAACCCAGAAGCACAAAGGGGAACGGCCAAACATTGCAGCAACGGCTTTGATGTTGTGGTCGCCCGCTGTGCCGCCTGCGGCTGGGATGAGTGTGTTCTGCTCCATGCTGCCCACATGCCTGAGAGAAGAGCTTTACGGGAGCTCTCTTAAAAAGATGTATAGACATAAACCCTAAACCCTAAACCTTAAACCCTAAACCCTAAACCTTAAACCCTAAACCCTAAACCTTAAACCCTAAACCCTAAGCCACTTTCTCTTCCTGACATGGGCAACTTAAGAACTGAGGTCCTCAAGAGGAGCCCAGGGTCAACTTCGAGGCATCTTTCGAGAAGCCTTCACAGACTTTAGCAGCTTCGTCTCCGGGATGGCAGCTGGGAAGTAGCTTGACTTTCAGCCCAGCTTTCTCATAAATACCTGCGAGTTTTAGGGTTCTTGGGTTTGGGGTTTAGGGTTTAGGACCGGATTCCGGGAACGAACCCTGGTTTTTGACAGGAACCCACCTCGACGGCAAGCAAGAGCAATGCCTGCGAACTGCGCAGACATGTAGTAGTCCAGCTGCACGGCAATCTGGCACAACGCGCGTGACATTTTGCTGCACACCTTCGCTGGCCAATCAACAGCTGTAGCAGGAGGAAACATCACCCGGTACAAAGCCATCTCAAGCACCCATCAAAACGATATCCCTAAACCCTAAACCCTAAACCGTGGCTCTGCTATCCTAATTATTAGCACACCGAGGCTTTAACTGAGGATAGTCGGCTCAACTCTAACCGAACAGCTCACTCTTCCGCACGGAGCCCCTGCAGCCAGAGCACCCAAGACAAAACGTCACCAAAGTTCTTGGGGTATTGTGTAGGCCGTGTGCGGCCTCGTACTACATAAGCTTCCAAGCAGCTCGAGCCAAAAGATAAATTTAAGACATCTTGCAACTGGACTTAAACCCTAAACCTTAAATCCTAAACCCTAAACCCCTAAACCCCTAAACCCTAAACCCTTAACCCTAAACCCTAAGCCTTTTCACTGCAAACGCTTAACGAGGCATGGACTGCATCAAGCGACAGAAGCCCCTGCTTAGCCCGGCTTTCCATGCGAGCAGCTTGTCTAAAGCATCGGGATTATGGCTTGGGTTTAGGGGTTTAGGGTTTAGGGTTTAGGGTTTAGGGTTTAAGGTTTAGGGTTTAGGGGTTTAGGGTTTAGGGTTTAGGGGTCTACGGGTAGGGGTTTTAGGGTGCAGGCTTTGAAGGCCTTGGCCTTCCGAGAAATTACGATTTCGTACCGTTCCTCACCTGCCCACCAACCTTCGAAACGGCATTGTCGGGCATCACTTTCAACACTTGATCGCAATGGCTGAGACAACCAGGGCTGCGTTACAGAGGGAAGCTCAAGTAATATCGGCGCCAAAACATCATTAAAATACGGATTTAGACGTCTGTCGACTTTTTGCAGCCACAGCTCTACCTGATGTCTTGGCTGACCCGGTATCACATGTACCACTGTATTGCCGACAGCTGCCTTGAAGCCTACAGACATGGAACCATCAAGAACGATGTGCTGCCTCCCATAGAGTTGTGAAACCAAAGGTCAAGATTCGGCTTTGGGAAAGAGCCGAGCGACTGGTCTGCAGACATGATTCAAGTATTGTTTACAGGTTTTCAATCTACTTAGTCTGTATCAAAGCGAATGGGTTTGGGAAGCACAAAGCTGAGAGCATCGGTCTAGAACACAGGGTGGAAAAACAACCGCGTCTCTTGAGGCACGTGGAGTAAAAGCCCACTGAGCATGCCGCTCCCCGGCCCGACGGGCAGAAAAAAAGGAATCCCCGGCCATTCAGGGTGCGGCCTCTCCGCCCCCCCGCTTGGGAAGCCGTCGCTTAAAGCTCGTTTCTTTAAGAATGACCGTCCCTTGGGCGTAGGCAAACATTATGGGTTGCTTGTTTCTTTTGGGTTTAGGGTTTAGGGATTAGGGTTTAGGGTTTAGGGTTTAGGGAACGAACATTATCATGGCGTTTCGCCGATGTCCGGCATCGGCGCCTTCTTGTCAAGCCAACTTCACCATCCCTACCCAGAGAACCCAATACCGCTTAATTAAGGAATATGCCTTAAATCATAGGAGCCTTGATGTTATGATTTAAAGTATATTTCTTAATTAAAGGGTATTGGGTTCTCTGGGTACTTCACCATCCCTAAGCCCCAAACCCTAAAAACCCAGATCCGGTTTCGAAACCTCAACCCTTAGCCCTAACTTCTAACTCCTTAACCTACGTCAACAAGATGACCCCAAACTCGACCTAAAAACTTCTTGTCTTGGGCTCTACTGTTCCCTTTCGAACCAAAGCACGTGAGATTGGGGGGGTGGGCCCCCAGACCTTCGACGAAGGGGGGGCTTACTGAAAAATTCAATGGACACTTTCGAGCTCTTCCTGGAATG